AAAATCTGCAAAATGCCTGACTCTGCTGGCATATTAACCCCCCACCCCCCAAAAAAGAGAAACAATTCCCTATCTCTCCCTACCTCCATAAGGGCCACCTTGAATAGCGGCACTTGGTGGCAACACCAAGGCTGGGTCTGAAATAGAGGCCCAGGCTTCTGAGGCTTCAAAAACTGCGAAAGCATGTCACATTCTCATGAGAGTTTTGGAGGCTCCAGAGGCAACATGAGAGTGCGCCCTTTCAATGCAATTTCTAGAGACTATAAGAGCACCGCTCATTCTTGTGCAGCATCTGCAGCCCCACAAAATCATGCGAGAATGGGACAACTATTTTTGCATGTCATAGTTTCAGACAGTTATTGCATGTCATAGTTTAATCATCACTGCCTTAGAGACTTGTATTATCTAAAATTGCACTGGCTTGTGTAATTTCAGACTATAGGTGAGGGGTCTATAGAAAACTAAATCCATAGAAAACTAGAAGAGTTATAGTTAAAAGTTTGCACTGATTTATAGCTTTTCTGTTTCCAGGGAATATTTGCATTAATAAATAATCAATTTCCTGCAGATTTTCATGGGCATATTCATTCACTTAGAAGTAATTTTCCATGGCTCAAGTCTTGGTCTGGCATTGCTTTTTTGATTCAATGCCACTGTCCTGCTATGAGATTTCTGGCCATCAGTATCTGAGATTGGAGACTTAAATACACTAATGCCTCATGTTTCAGAAGAAAGCCAGTTTTTATAGCAATTCAGATATTACATCTATCTATCTATCTATCTATCTATCTATCTATCTATCTATCTATCTATCTATCTATCTATCTATCTATCTATCTATCTATCTATCTATCTATCTATCTATCTATCTATCCATCCATCCATCCATCCATCCATCCATCCATCCATCCATCCATCCATCCATCCATCCATCCATCCATCTTACCTAGAATAGAATAAATAATAATTCAGTTGGATGGCATAAACTCTATGATACACAACTGTTGTATCTAATGCATCCTAGCACAAAATTATAATACATAATCTGTATTTGGATTATTATCCCATCAGTTGCGATAATCATTTGTACTAAAACTTCCTGCAATTTTTTTTGTTTTTAGCGATGCTCTCTGGCGTTGCTGGCAGTTAATATACAAGGAAATCCCAGAGTAAATTTGTACCTTACCAGAGTTTATGATTAAATATTTTGGAGAAAAGAGACACTAATTTGGGTCTGTTACGTATGAGCAAGCATATAAAGCTTGTTTATATTGTTTAAATAAATTGTTGAACATTTAAATCTATAACTGATAAGCAATCAAGTTCCTAGTGCATCATTATTATACAAATTAAAAAACAAGATATTTTTGATTGACTGGTGGAATTAGTACCTGTATGACAGTAAAACTTCATTCAATTTTGATTACAAAATATAAGTTATTTGTCTTTTAGCCACTAGGTGTCAATCACTCACTGAGTCTCATGGTTTCAGGGCCTTTTGGCTGAGATCAAGCATAATGGGTTGTACCCATTAT